CGACAGGTGTTCGACTTAAGGATTACATATATCCCTATATCTCGACAGATAATTTACATGAGGCATCATGTTGAAAATTTACAATGAAACTGCCGTACAAATATTAAGTGGGTTTTATCAATTGTATACTCCGTTCAAACAAACCTTGCAACAGGTTGCAGAGGGGGCGATCTGATTCAGCCTGGACAAACAGATTCAAATTGAATTCATTTCCGAGCATGTGTTAGAAAGCGACGTGTCTGGCATTCGTTTATCAATACAGGGATTTCTGCGAAGAACATAAAGGTTCCACGGTGTACACACCTGTCGCTTCCCTTACTTTGACATCACCAAATCTGACACGGTTAAAATAGCGTTTCCCATGCTATGTAATTAATTCCGGAGTCAAATAGCAAAATGGTAACAGGTCTCGGTGTAATCTCATTTCAAATTAATTTTCTCAAAATCTAATTTACTTTTTCCTTATATATTTGATATTATCAAGCTTCGAAACTAATTGCGAAATTGATAGGTTTATGGTTTTCGAATTATTATATACTTAGGTTGCAGACGCAGGGTGGGTCTAATGAGCAGTCGATATTTCAATGTCATAGTTGTATATGAATCCAGTTGTACAAATAGAACAATGGAAATCAGCTCTGGTCGTCATCTCATACACAGATAATGTTAGTAACAACTAGTGATTCTGCACTTACGGTCACGCACTATTTGATACAGTCAATTTACGTCAATCATGCTTTCAAAAGTATTATTACAATATAAATGACTTATCTACATTTTAACAGTTCCCCAGCTGTGAATTTCGTTTTATTATGTAGCAACGTTGTAAAGGGGAATGGTAAATGCATTCTATATATTTTGCTAACAAAGCTGCGAATTACCAACTTTTATTATATAAGTTCTAAAAATCCTGACAATCAGTGTCATTGTTATATTACGTTATATAAAAGAATAAAATGCATAAAATGCATAAAATGATCAAATATTAGCACCGACAGTAATTATAATTAATATCTAATATCTTTTTGAATATTGGTTTATAATTGTATCACAAATGTTTAACTACAATCTGTGACGCAAACGAACTTTTTCAGAACTCAAAGCTATTTGCACTAAAATATATAGCTCTGCCATTAAATAAATCTCGCGTTAATTTGAGCAGTGTTTAGTGAGAGTAACATGTTGTCATATTCAACTATTAAAATACATATTGCTATATTGTACTGATTTAGTAAACGGCTTCGTTATTGTGATATGTAACATAAATCATTAAATACAATGTACACATACCATAAATAATCAAAACTTTCAAGTCAGTGCCAAAATTCATCTAGAGATTGTTTCACTAATATATAATGATGAGTAAGGTACGGCCTTCTCTTTTCTTAAATGGAGATTACTGTATTTAAAAAGATGAATATTAATATATGTTATTGTGATTTTTGCATGTCAAACTATTGTCTGATAAACATCACCATTTAATCAGTGCAATGCGGCCCATGAGACTGCAATAATACGGTAATTCACAGAACAGTTCATTGGTCTTAATCCGCAAATTTTCAATCCATGAAAGTAAACTTTCCAGGATCATAACAGATCGAATTAAGATAAACAACAAGCGATACTTTAACAGAGAATCAATACTTGAATTATACTGCACTTTAGGGGCCTCATTATAGTTGTACTTTAAACAATGTTTGTGGGTTTTTTACGTTCTTTACTAATAATGTGTTTTTTCTACCATAACTTATTTATCGATCTGTCGTTTATTGGTTATTGAGGAGCAAAAGAAAGTATGCCGAATTTGTTTATTATGAAATAGAAAATTATCAGAGATGTTGTTAAATTGGATTGCGTCTATTTAACTACCATTCATAAACTGTAAAAAAAAAGAAAACTGCGCTAGGTGAGTGTGGTTTTACGCCGCTTTTAGCAATATTCCAGCAATTTGACAGCTGTGAACCCTAGGTATGGGCTGTACACATTGTACCTTTGTAGGGAATCGAAACCGGGTCTTCGGCGTGACGACGAACGCTTTAACCACTAGGCTACCCAACTGACCAAAGTGGGGCTAGGTGATTTTGTGTAATAATATATTGTGAATACACAATGCCATATAAAAAGTGGTCAAATGTAACATATTTTATATTTGGGATTAAACTTTCTGACTTGTGTGCTGGCGATTCGGTGCCTGAATCGAGGGTGTGGGTTTGAATCCCTGATGGAACTCAACCCAACAAAAGTACTAGAATCGTTACTTCACTAAGAAAGTGTAATCCCAAATAAGACATATGTTAAAAATGAATTGGTTTACGAAGACTTTGGTCGGAAGGAATTTGTAATCACTGCCCTAAACCAAGTTTAAATTAGTGCTGAAAAAGAACTATTTATCGATATCAAAGATAAGACATCTAATGTACATACCTCCATTTGTTTAAATCTTAAAGGTTTAAATCAAATTATATTAAAACACGTGGAAGTATTGTTTGAGAGCTGAGTAAGTGCAGGTACAGATCATATTTCTGCTAACTTGAGATTATTTCGATTGAAAATCAAACATGATAAAATCAAACGAGGAGCTGATTTCATTTCCGCCTTGTTTATACAGCTTCCACGGACATTGTTCATGTGTGTGTCAGCCTGCACAACCTACACGATCTATCTGTTGGATATAGACCAACGATGCCCTTTGACCCTGCATCATGGATCACACATTGTTAACGTGAATGATTTTCATGAGGATAATAGCTTTGCATGTCATGAATAAATCGCGCGATAACTGGCATATATTATTATTTTAAACAACTAACATTTGTAAGTCAATGAATAGCAACACTTCAGACAATGTTACTGTGCTTTGCGAACCATTGAATCTGTTGACTGCAACTTTAGACAGTTTGTATAAACCAGTTGATATTTACATATTATGCTTTCATATCGATGACCATGTTTTGTCCTTGGGAGAAATCTGAATACGTTGTGTAAAGTTAACGGGAGGCGCATATTGTTTAATGTTCTTTTGTGATGTTCCTGTTGTGTGTAGGTGTTCATCAGGGCAGGGCAGGGCAGGGCAGGGCAGGGCAGGGCAGGGCAGGGGGCAGGGCAGGGCAGGCAGGGGCAGGGCTCTAAAATGAGCTTCACAACATATGGAAATTGGTGAGGTAATAAGCGCAGTGGATCAAGCGTTTGTTCATGACACATATGACAGGGTTCAGTTCCACCCGGGAACGTGAGTGAGTGAGTGAGTGAGTGCAGCACAAAGTGATGCTTGTCTCAGATGTGTCCGCATGGGGGATATGGTGTGGTTGGTTGGTTGATTGGTTTGTTTGATGTTTATGAAGGTCGCCTTCGCCTTTTGGCATTTTGGCGTTAACAATCGGAGCAAACAGATTTCTCTCACGTCTAAGGGACGCAACTCCGCACAAATAATTGCTGCGCCTCATACGACCGGACCACTGGGTTGACATGACAGAATTAAACATACGTATTAAAGTTTAACAGCCCTTATCCTACTCTTCCAGACAACGTTAAAACTACCAGGGTATGCGTCTAAACGCGAAAACCACTTAGCGGAACGGGCACTGCAAAGTCCAGAAGCATCCAGGTGGTGTTGGTCAAAGCACTGGACTGTAGCGTTGGTCAGTTGGCATCGGTCAACAGTCAACATACATAATAAATGAATCAGGGCTTGTCGAAGATAATTAGCTGTCCCCGGGAAACGCCAAGGCGTGACACTTGGTCCGTGGTTGTTTGGTTAGGAACTGACCGTCCCTGGATATTGGGCATAGTGATTTAGGATCGTTGGCTGGTCTTTTGACAGTCGTCGGAAAGTTTGGGCAGGTAAAACCGTAGAGGATACTAATCTATTTGGTGTCTAGAAGGTCTGGCGAAGTTTTGATGAATAAGTGAGTTAGAGGAAGAAAGAAGTATCTTTTGTTGGGAAATCGTCGTGTGTCTGTGAAGATTACTCTTTGACTGTCGCATTGTGTAGCACTTCCATGGATGTCACGCAATCATCAATAATAAATGCGACTGTTTTCATAACAATAATAGGCGTCCCTGGCAGTTAAAAACTTGTCTGTTCGAGATAATCTTTTCCTTTCCTTCGGTTATACAAAACAAAGTATATATTTTTGTCTCTTACGACACATTTGATTACATGACAAAACACTAAAGAAAATATGTAGTCATGGGACTTAATGCTCTGGAGGAAAAGGTCCCCTATATATCGTATTTGTTTAAAAATCGACCAAAAAATGGATGAAATGGTTAGATTGTGTAAACTGGGTAATAAAGTCTTCGACGAAGTGTTTGAAGCATTAGGTCCCTGAACTATTTAATTGCAAGACAAAGTGACTCTGATTTTTTTGGCCCCTTATATCAATGCTCATCAACATATTGATAAGAAGGTTTAAATGTCTTCGGGCCCTTCATCATCTTAATGCGTCAGTTGTTTGTTTGTTTGTTTGTGTGTTTGTTTATTTGTAATTCAACGCCACTAGTCACAGCAATAGTCCAGTTATATGACGGCGGTCCGGGCGGTAGGGTGGCCTAGTGGTTAAAGCGTTGGCTCGTCACGCCGAAGACCCGGGTTCGAATCCCAACATGGGTACAATGTGTGAAGCCCATTTCTGGTGTCCCCCGCTGTGATGTTGCTGGAATATTGCTAAAAGCGGCGTAAAACCAAACTCAGTCAGTCAGCCATATATAACAGAGTCCGACCAAACAATCCAGTGACTGGCTCCATGAGTATCGATCTACACAGTTAGGACACGATGACCTGCATTAACCCAGTCACCGATTTTGACAACTTGTTCCGGTTGAAGGCCTCTTACGACAAGCATGGATTACTGAAGATCAATTATAACCCGGATCTTCACAGGTCTAAAGTTTCAGTTTATATCTGGTTTAATTTTTCTTCATTGTGCTTCATTTTGTAAATGTTTGTCTTCTACAGTATCATGTTTCAGTTTTATATCTGGTTAAATTCTTCATTTCAGATGAAGCTCATCGCCCAATCTTTCCTCCCCCAAAATCTCGAATCCGAACCCCTTTCGATGTGGCATCCTTGATCGCAGATGTTACCCCGTCGTTCACAGACGAATCCTCGAAATGGCGGAACGACAGAAAATCCTTATCTTATAATGAAAGCGAAACAGGTACGGCATCTTCTTCAGTTAGCCTAACTATCCGTTTTACTAAACTGAAACATTTAACTCATATTTGAAGAAATACCGACTTATTGACCAAACACGCTGGCCATACAATTGTAATAACAGACTGCTCTCACTCTCAAGAAGCATAAACCTTTAGATATTACGCATTCTGTTTCTTTATTGATCTTCAGCGGCACTGCATTACCAGGAATCATTGTGTAACCCTGCACTCAAGATTCGACTTAAAATGAATGCGTTAAATAAGGTTTTTCGGCTCTAACTGTGATGCACATCATCATCATCATCATCATCATCATCATCATCGACTCAATCACGACTGCTATATCTGCAAACCTGCAATGATTCGTACATCATTAAAATACGACTTAGGACCTGTAGTCTGTAACTTGTGTAGATCTCTAACCTCTGCATTTGCACCAAACTAATGTGTCGTCTTAATCATTAAAGCCATCCTCATATAAAAACACCAATTAAAACCCACGACTTGCCACTACCGTTTCCGCAGACAGATTTGCCACCCAATAACTCTGCCACAGGCTGCGATAAAAGGCAAATTCTTAAAGTCACACCTTAACGGCTTTTTACAGAAATACGTTAACAATCAACTGGGAATAACCAACGAAGCCTTTGTCACCGCAAGCGAGATTTCCACTGATTGCTAAAAATCGCTGTTTATGTAAGGCAATTCTCGCCATTCACAGTATATAGTCCTTTCAAACCCACATCGGGGGTGGGCCGGCGACGACATTATTAAATTAACAGTCAAGGGCCCCAACTGGCGCCCGACTTCAAGACCCCTTGAGACAAGCATTGAGGAAGAAATTCCTTTGGGCCTGCTATATCTGTATCAGTACAATATATATTTAAAGCCCCTGGATACTTTAACCATCGCCGGGCCTTTGGGCTATTGCAGTCTCGTATCTCTTAAGGTTATTCCTTTGTTTAAACTGTTACTGGAAGTTGTCCCCAAACCTGCTCTTTCACCTAGGTTTCAAAAGGTCGAAGACCATCATGAATAACTAAACATTGATTCCGGTCGCTTGATTGCCGGGAAGTTGTGTGACGCATGCGCAGTTCCCTTGGGCATCTCGGAGAAGCCTGTCATATTGAATGCGACTGTTTTAAGAGACAAGGGCCTTTTCAATAGAATCTGAAAACATGGGAGAATAAAATAGATTCCTGAGTGTCATGATTTAGAAACACAGATTGAGACAGACTTGACACTTCGCGCGTGACCAGGAAATATTTATGAAATGGATTCGGCGAAAATGGGATCTTCTGTAACTTTGAGTTATTGCTTCATGGGTTTGTGATGCCATTGTTGGTCCGTCTACTTGAATGATTGTAAACCAACATCGACCAAGTGCATTGTCATCTGATGGGCAAATCGTGCCATCACTGTGAATATGCATTCATTACAGATAAAACGAACTCACGCGAATATTAAATGCTTGGGTTCAGTCGGTCCGCTGGATGCGGTCGTGTTCATAGGATGCCCAAAGCCGTTCTCCAGATGTCTGGCCCGTTATGCATTGTTACATATTAATGCATGGCAGAAGTCGATATTTAAGACTCTATAAATCAAATGAAACTGATAGGATGAAATATATAGAAAGAATACGCTGATGTTGTTATTTATGTTCTGATAAGGTCTTAACCTATATCATTGCCACTGCAAATGCCATACTTATTGTCTCCTGAAGGATGGCTGGCGTTTAGGATGGAGTTGTGATCGTTTTCAATGAGTTTTGTTTAAGGAAACAGTATCCATTTTCATTCGGAAATGTACTAGGAGGTAACTTTCAAATTTTCCACAACTCTAGATAGAGATATTGATGGACATGGTGCTTTGTTTAAAATCTAGTGACATTATGTAACCCACATGGTTTACAATATTGACAATTGGGTTTAAATATCTGAAAGTAATGTTAACCGACACATTATTATATTTACTACAAGGCTACAATAATTAATATTTTAGTAAAATTGATACAATAAAACTGAGTTTACTTTGGTTTTAAAAAATACAACAATCAATTATTTTTTCATTTCATCGAAATGTAAATATTCTCAGGTGATTGGGGTGAAGGTTCTGATCCATATTTCATGCAATGATTTGTAAAATTAAGGCAATGAACAAACGTTTAGCAATTATCCAGAAGGTTGTCAGAAGTGGACGTTATTTGTGTCAATGCTTGTACAATTTAGCGCATGAAGAACACATAATACATACGCTAGTTTAAAAGGTGTAAAAAAGCTTATGTTAAAACGTTAAAGCTTTTCAGAAGAATATATTGTTTGAACATTAGATGAGCAGGAAGTTATCGCGGGAAACGTAGATTAAACATTAGTGAGAAATGTGCTAAATATTGCTGACTGGACCATACAACATGCAACAATATAAAGATATTCTTCTTGAATTTGGAAATATGATCATGACCTCGTCGGGTTCAGCCATTGCAATATACTTGCAAGTGTAAGAGAGACAAAAGGTTGACACATCAATCGTTTTATCATGTCTGGAAATTCTGAAACCTTTATTTCTAAAACTTGAAATAATATTTGACGTCAGGGCGCTTTAATCTACTATTCCGTCATCATTCACCGTATGAACACAAAGAGGAAGGGATATTGTTGTCAAAAAAATATTGACGAGTGAAAATGATTGAACTATTTTCTTTCCTGACTCCAGGCCCTTTGGACAAGCCAGACAACTGTGTCCGAATCAAGGAAACAAAATACCTGCGAGAGTTTCTTGGCGACTTCCTGTCATGGCTGACACTGGACCACGAGATGCAGATTCTGCCGAAAACAGGTCTTCTTCCGGATCCTCTGCATACACCCTCATTTCACGACATCGGCCGTCAAGATGACATTCATCCTTGTAACTGTGCGCGATGCCGCGGCCACGACGACTCGTCTCCCTCTGACCACAGTTCCGTTCACTCCGGCGACATGGGGTCCAAGATCCTCTCTGGGGGTCTCTCCGAACCAAAAGAAAGAACATTTTCGTGTAAAGAGTGCGGCAAGTCGTTCAAGAGATCGTCTACTCTGTCCACGCACATGTTGATTCACAGTGACACTCGACCATACCCGTGCCCTTACTGTGGTAAACGATTCCATCAAAAGTCGGACATGAAAAAACACACGTATATTCATACTGGTGAGTTCCTTTGTTCCATAACTGTAGTCTCGCTTCCTTGTAAATACACGTATAACTTTATATAATCTATTTGTTGGTTAGTTCGCTGTTTAACGCCGCAGTCAGCAATAACGCCGCACTCAGCAATATTACAGCTGTGTGACGGCCGTCTGTAAATAATCGAGTCTGGACCAGACAATCCAGTGATCAACATCATGAGCATCAGTCTATGCCATTGGGAACCGATGACATGTGTCAACCAAGTCAGCGAGCCTGACCACCCGATCCCGTTAGTCGCCTCTTAGGACAAGCATGGGTTGCTGAAGACCATTTCTAGCCCGGATCGTCACGGGTCTTACATAATTGTACGATGGCACTTTGTCCCCAATGAGCAGCTTGTGCTAGACAATCCAAATTTATATCATAACCCCGCAGAATGCAGTTTCACGTAAAATGCGGCAAATTGAGGATTGGGTGGTCACTGTGACTGCTAAGCAACCAATGCTGTCAGATAGCTTTGAAACGACTCTTACAGGTTACCCTCACCTTTTGTCGCTTGCACAGTAATTGTTGAAGATGGGTTGTTTAAACCAGGGTATCTACTTAACAGAGAAAATCTGTGGAAAATAGGTTTGCCAGGAAATCTAACCGGACTGTTATGGTCCATCAAAATAACATTCCGCTGTAGATGATTGTATTACAGAAACTGACAGGGTCTATTTTGGGATTATTTCTTTTTTTTAAATAAAAAGACTTATATAACCTTGACTTTTGAATGTCAGCAGGGTTGACATCGTCATTTGCCCTTGGGCTAGATTTCTATTTCTTTTCAAGGATATTATTTTGAGTTCTTTCTTTCTGCGCATTTTTTTCTTATCGTCAAGAAGTGGAAACAGTTTAAATGGCCCCCCTTGTTTGTCAATTTCATAAGCAGCACAATGTGTTGTTTATACACATTGACACTGCAGAGTGAAAACCCCCTCTTCGATCGATAACTGTCGGAGCTTCGCGCTGGTCACAACTCAGGCGAAATTAAGCAACGTTGGTTGCATGGAAGATGGCTAAGGGTGATAGTGCTCAAGTTGCTAAGTTTCTAAGCCGTCGATCCTGTTGACACACATTTTAGGGTTGATACCTCCTCTGACTAGTTACATGTTCGAGATATACACCTGTTCGTCGAGATAATTGTTAGTATTGTACACAGATTGTAATTTACTGGGTTTGAAAGGTCACAATCCCTGCTTATTATTATGACTTGTCACGCCAAAACAATTGGCTCGTTCAACTCAGGTTTTTGTGGATGCGCCCCATGGAAAATACACAACAAAATATGTCACCATTTCGTAATTCCTTTTATGGCAGGCTTAGAACTTCTCAGTCAACCCTCGTTTACCGTAACACACGGAACGAGTGAGTCAACACAAATCACTCATATACTTCACAAATCCAAATCTCTACCATCCTCATAGAGTATTTATTATATACATCAAAACCAGAAACTTCTCGCACCTGCCTACAGCGAAAACTCAGCAAAAAACTAATTCACGGCATATTTGTGCATATTCATGTTTTTATTTATTGATCTGATTTGACAACGGACAATCCTCACGAGAAGAAGGCGAATGAAAAGGTGTAAGTATAACGGACTAGTATATATTCTAAGATTTATCTAGCACTGTCTGACTCGCATGGTATGTTTTATTTACGACACACTTAAAGGGCTTTACAAATTACAGTGCAAAAAAAGTTAAGACGTGTTTCTTGATCCTTTGGCATCCTAATGTCTACACTGGTGTCAGAGTTGCCATGAACTGTAAACCTAAATAAACTGTTTCCCCGAGGCAGGCAAAAAACACAAAAGACGATGATAATTCGAATTCAAAAATAACCTTTTTCGTGATCAAAGATTTTCGCGACTCTGAATATTTAAATCGCTTTCGTTCCACTAAGAAACTTTCCCCTTTGATAAACGGTCGGTATTGAAGACTATAAGGATGTTATTTATATGCACACGAATTGATTGTGTTACTGGAAAACATTCTTTTGATTATATTTTACAATCATATAATTTCGGGAATCGGCTTTTCAATAACAAATGTATAGGAATACTTGCAAATACAAACTTAATATAGAAATGCTATAAGCTAAAATGGAGAGGATTGCTTTAACAAAGGCATATCACTTCAGTTGTCAGATCGTATACTCATGTTTCTTTCGGTGGTATATTTTCATTATTTATATTAACAGAAACAGCTTACTTACATTGGGGGTGGTGGGATATCCTAGTGGTTAAAGCGTTTGCTCGTCACGCCGAAGATCCGGGCTCGATTCCCCACATGGGTATAATGTGTGAACCCCATTTGTGGTGTCCCCGCCGTGATATAACTGAAATATTGCCAAAAGCGGCGTAAACCTAAACTCACTCACTACTTACATATAGTTATTTAAAGAATTGAACTGGACATGAGTGACCACAGGTGTGGGATCACCCGTTGGTTACAACTCGCTCAGAACGAATGACAGCCGGAATGACAGCTTAGTTAAAACTTATGTATGTGTACATTCTATATGTCTACAATGTGAACATGGGCAAAGTGCCAAACGCCTTTTCAGTAATGTTCCATATTTAAATAACTGGTCGAAAGCTCTGTCCATTTTATGTTAACGAATTCCATACATTTTATGCTAAATTTCAGCACCCAGTCAATGAAACGGTAGGATTAAAAGAAGAAAGTCAGTGTATATTTAAATAGTCTTTCTAATCCCAGCATTGATAGTCTTTGGTGACATTTTGACGTTCATTTTGAACTTCTGAATAATTTGTAGCAAGTCTGTGAAATATATGGTGTGAAATTTCAGTTAACATTTGTGAAATGACTGAAATATTCAGGTGTTTTGTAAGTGCCTAAGTGAATGCCATTTAAAACATTGAGTGTAATGTATACACATGGATATATGTGTGTTTGCATATCTAATCAGATGACTAATTGGGTTGATTTCTTTCAGGCGAGAAACCTCACAAGTGTACCATATGTGGAAAAGCATTCAGCCAGTCGTCCAACCTGATAACACACAGTCGGAAACACACTGGATACAAGCCGTTCTCTTGCTCACAGTGTGGACGGGCATTCCAGAGAAAAGTGGATTTGAGGCGCCATCTTGAAATCAGCAGCCACCACTAAGGGAGATCACTATCAGTTAAAGACTTGAATTGCCCCCCTTTAATTCCCAACGACTTTGCTGCAAGAGGCTTGTAGTGGGCTGTTCAGATTACAGGCCCAATGACGTCACAACAGACTCCGTGATGATGATGTCCTGGACGTTATTACGACGGCTGCGACTACGGAAAATATGACAAACAAATGACATAAGTCCTAACTGCATATTTTGTGCACACCACAAAAAGACGTCATGTACTGGTCAACCAAGGACACAAATATAAGACGTTTTTCAGATTGGATTGAATCTGGGGAATAGCGTATTTCGTTCAGAAAGGGCAGGTATTAAGAGGCCCGGTGAAGGGGTACGGGTTTGAAGTCAGGAACAAATTTGAACTGTTCAGATACAGCTTCGCATCATAAAACGCAAGAAATAAACACTGGGGCTATAAGTAAAGTGTAAAGTTAAAAAGTGCGCGCCGGGCTATGATTACAAGACATACGGTTTATATAGAAAACCCCGTTAATCCAGATCCATGCCTGCAGAGATTCTTCCAGGGAACTACATATACTGAAAGGGACAATATTCCCTTACAGGATTCCTTAATCCGTGGATCTGTTCATCTGTACGGTTTCCATGGTTACCGTTCGGATTAAAGGGGTTTCACTTTTGTTTTCGAATCAACTTTGCTTACGCTTGTTATTTGCCAGGTGCATCTGCAATATCTTCAGACATATTGTAAAACACCCAGTGTTAAAAATCACCCACTTTTAAATTTTAATTCATATTCTATTTTTTTTCTTTTAACTTCCAGATATTTTAGAATAGAAATGGAATGCTTCTGTCTGTCACCAAGACATATTTCCTCCTAACTCAAATCCACTTTTTCTTTTAAAACTCTCACAAAACATTATTCTGTCAAACAAATATATCAAGATTACAGACTGTTTCTTTTAATCGATTTCACAACGTCTGGATTCTCGTATTGTGGATAAATGTCTTGTGATTTATTTATGCCACGTCCGTCACGTTTCTGATAGACCTTTGCCTCTAAAATTCTTATATTCACATTGGAGTGTTAGCGATATGTATTCATTATGAAAGCAAATATTCTTTACAGAACGATAGCAAACGTCAAGCTAGTAATGGTCGGCAAGAGATTTCTAAAATGTTTAGCAATGAATATTTCTATTGATCGCTAGGGGTCGTTTGCCTATTTGTCAGTGTCGGTTAGGAATTCTAAACGGTTTTTGAATCTCAAATATTGAAAAGAGCGATCAGATTTTCAAAGATTCCAGGCTAATTAGCAATTCACATTTGTCAAAAACGATATAGTCGCTGTATCACGTTAGCCTATATGATATTATGAAGTTTTTTTCTCTTGAAATCGACAAATGTTAATGGGAATATTTAACCGATAAATTGGAAAGAGTATACGCGTATGGTATCACATTGACGTTCAAATTGTGAATCGTTTACTATTCATACTGAGTATTGCTTTATAAAGCCCAGTACTGTCACATATGTGACCTGTATCATAATTTCGTTTTACTGAATATTTTTCATGCAATAATTTATTTTCCTTTTTTTTTGCACAGAATGGAATTTAAATTTAAAAACAGTTTAGTCGGTTAAATATTAATATCAGAAACATAAGAAATACACGTGTCCATGCAGGCTTTACCTTGCCGAGACTACATGACGTTAAGGAGTGAGATGTAGTCATGATGTTAATGAGTGAGATCTAGTCATGACGTAAGGAGTGAGATCTAGTCATGACGTCAGGAGTGAGATCTAGTCATGACGTTAATGAGTGAGATCTAGTCATGACGTTATGGAGTGGGATCTAGTCATGACATTAGGGCATGAGATCTAGTCATGACGTTAAGGAATAATATCTAGTCATGACGTTAAGGAGTGAGATCTAGTCATCACGTTACGGGGTGAGATCTAGTCATGGCGTTAAGGAATGAGATCTAGTCATGACGTTATGGATTGAGATCTAGTCATGACGTTAAGGAGTGAGATCTAGTCGTGACGTTAAAGAATGAGACCTAGTCATGACGTTAAGGAATGAGATTTAGTCATGACGTTATGGAGTGAGATCTAGTCATGAAATTTGCAGTGAGAGTGAGATCTAGTCATGACGTTATGGAGTGAGATCTAGTCATGACGCCAAGGAGTGAGATCTAGTCATTTACCCAACGTTTGACCCCCAGAAACTTGTGCGTATAAACGAGGTTCATTATTAGTCGTTATTGCCCCGATGTTAGCAGTGCACCTGCCTTTATAGCTGTTGTTTTTGTTATTACAATCTATGTTTTATGCCATCTGTGGTATTTTGATGATCTCTAATTGTATATACATCTGTACATATTTTTTAAGTTATTTGAATAAAAAATAAATGAAAAATAGCTGTTGTGTTAATGAACGGAAAATCAATCACAGCGATTATGTGCGTATTGTATGATGTTCATAGCTTCAGAGACCATTTAATAAGTTCTGTGATAGCGGACTATGCCTTGCTGTAGTTCCACCGTTGACCTTAAACGGCTATATTGCAACATGAACATATCAAGTAAGTGAAAAAGTAGAGAGATGGGAGAGGCGTTAGGGAGAGAGGGAGAAAGAAAAGTGAGAGAGGAAAGGGAGAGAGAAAGAGGAAGAGTGTCTCTCTCCCAATTTCTCTCCCTCCCCATCTCTGTCTCTCTCACTCTCTCTCTCTCTCTCTCTCTCTCTCTCTCTCTCTCTCTCTCTCTCCCCAATTTCTATATACATACCCATCATCTCTCTGTCATACTTTCTCTGTACATACATACTCTCTCATACATACATCATACTACATACATACATATATAGTTATACACACACGTGTGAGTGTATGAGTGAATTCGTGCGTGCGTGCGTACGTGCATGCGTGTGTAATGGAAATGAGCGTCAGAATCGCTACTACAGAGATTCGGGGTGGTATGGTATCATGGTATTCGAACCTCCTAGGAGTGAGCGATATCGGATGCTATTCAGCCAATCTGATCACTGTAAGACGATACGTGGCCGGGAGGTGTGTCGCCCGTTTTTGATCCTTGACACTGTTTACACATCGTTATATATTCATGCCGAAGAACCGATCTCATTATGCTCATACATATATGATGACCTCCGCGAAATAATACAAAACGAATATTGTCACGAATGTGTGAAAACAATCCATGCCACGAGCTCAGTTACATCCCGCCGTGGGCGTGGTGGTAAAAACATAAAAAACGACCGAAACATTAAATGTGAGTTAGTGAGTATGGCTTTCCCCCGCTTTTAGCAATATTCCAGCAAAACGGGACACCAAACATGGGCTTGACACATTTACTCATGTTGGGAATCAAACCCTGGTCTTTGGCGTGACGAGCGAACGCTTTAACCACTAGGCTACCCCACAGCTCCGATGAAGCAATGAAAACAATAAGAACTGTTGTACTGCTATCGTCATGATAATAATATCATGTTCATTTTGTAGAAAACAGGTGTATGTGCCTCCCCATCCCTGAAAAAGAACAGAAAAACAAACAAAACAAACAAAAGGGGATCATCGACATATTTCATATATATAACGACATCAGTATGTGAATTCATTTAAAGACAAAACAACGAGACATGCTCACCGCATCTTTAGAGTACGTCTAAGCTGGAAGACGATAACCCGATAAGTTTGAATGAAAAAATGGATTAAAAAAACAAGGAGCCTGTGCTCAACTTGGTATTAAAATATTCATGGACAAGTTGACGCAGAGCTGTTTCAAAAAGTACGAACTTCAAGAGTCACCGTCAGCGTTTTGAAGCATAATCTTCAAGATGAATCACAGTGTGACAAACAGCATCCATGATCTAATTTATGAATATACGAGACATCGCGTATCGTGCTAATTCATGCCGCCTGACTGTCAGATACAGGTATGCAGCGTCAGAAGGGGAATAGTATATTTATTTCAGCGTTTCAAAACACAAGGTAGGTTCATTAAAACAATGGTTTGACAGAAAATAAGTCTACTGTGTACAAAATCCGAATGTAAATGTTCTGGTCAAATGAACGAAACCTACATCATATTTACCACACAATGGCCTATGAGGGAATGAAAAATGAAGGTGAATAGTCTCATGTATCGTGTCAATAAATTGACTGGCTATGCTTGATGTGATGTCACAATTACACATGCAACAGTTTACTGTTACGTTACCCTCGTAAAACTTCACATGGAAAATCAAAACAAAATTATGAAAGTTTGTGAAGTAACTTTTTTCATTTTGGAGACAAACGTTATGAAACTTTTTTCCAGAGTTGGTCTGATGTTTTCATTCAGTCTGCGTTGAGATGAATGTTTGAACCGAATTTGAGCTAGACTGAGATCATCGGTATCATTTTTACCCCAACAGACTCAAGCTTCCCTTGATCACGTGACACATGATCGCCATGACACCTCGTTATACCAAACCCCGTTAATACGGAAATCTGGCTTTCTTAGGTAAATCACCCTGTGTTCATGAAATACGTTTTCCGGACAATTTCCTTTAAAATCATTCAGTCCAGTTTAACGGGGTTCATTGTAGCTCCATGGGCTGATACAGATCCTGTCCTCATTACCAGTAGAGTCTTCAGGTCAGCGCGGCTTCAGTGAACAAGATATACAAGAAATAATGCTTCGCAAAGTGAAACTAGAAATAATGTGATCTAATCTACATGAATTCTGAGCGAAATGAAACATTCTCGCCCATGGGCCGGCCCATAGGCGAGCGAGTTTAAATTTTGAGTTTCGAAAACAAAGATTTTTTTCATCCTTAGCATATATTCATAACAACTGCATGTTTAATTTAGTCGAATCCCTTGTCAGAAAGTGTCCACAGTGCGGCGAGTTTCTGGACTTTGGTGTGGTGTTCAAAGTAGTCATTTTGTATAGCACTGAAGGTTCCAGGTTTACTGCTCACGGGTGTTTTCACATATTCACAGTATGTACACAGTATATACACAGTGCCTTTTGTTTTAACAGTTATAGGCAATTTTAAAGAAATGGGTTTTTAAGTTTGTCTGGAATGTTGATGTCGTTTCTGATAATTTGATGTTATCTGGAAGAGCATTCCACATAGATGTTGCTGCGCATCTGAAACTGCGTTCACCCATAGCTGTTTTACAGGGAGGTTTTGTTTCTACAGTCGTAATATCGTGGCCGTTGAACTATATGAAACAGAGAATATGTGTTAATAGGTTTAAAGACATCAGGTACATTACAGAATATGAACATTCCTGCGGGCTTCCTGCGGGCTTCCTGCGGGCCAGTGTTAATGCAGACGCCATACGGCACGGTGATGTCACGCCTGGGACCTTTTTAAAAAGTTTCGAGATTATAAGAAAATATATATGGTGTTGAACATTTTGAAACTGTCAAAGTTTTAAAAAGTCTTTCCCTTTGCGGTCAACTTGAATATGTAATAGAATAACATTCCTACATTACTATAAATCCTGCAAATTTTCTAAACATATTGACGCAGAATTCCACTCACTATACAAATACTCGGATAAAACCACACGAATTGTTATATGGAATTTGAAACCCGCAAACTGAAACAGATTGACCTAAAATTCAGCAAATCTCAAATTGATCAATATTGATAAACAATCAAACAAGTAAATACTGAGAGCAGATTCAAGCAAATAGTAACACAGGTACAGATCTGAAATCATATATTGACATAAATTCTGCATTTTCTGACTAGTTTTAGTTAATTATATTTTAATTGCGACAATTTTGGTTTAAAATCTGCGAGTAGGTAATGCATTGTTAAATGGTAAATATCCTATAATATATTAAGGTAAAATGTTTTTTATATGTAGAGCAGAAACATATCTTTGAGAAGCGATAATTCTACATGTAAAGGTCTTAAATTACGTCATAATATATGCCAAAATAAATTTAGAAGTGACTTTTAGACCGTGATGTACGTCCTATCAGCACCTCAACAGTGCAGTGGCAGCATTGATGCCTTGCCATCTTCTCCCCACACAAAGAAACCATAATAATAATCAAAAACATGATAATATATATTAAACTAAGTCGGAGTGACGTCATAAAGCCGTTGTTCATATACATTTCATTCGAATACCATCTCAAGTCCGCCCTCGCTGTTTTTCTTATTCAGGCATTGTTAAGCTCTGGTGGGAATATCATAATTTAAAAAATCACGTTTTATGATATATGAGCAACCAAGCGGTGACACTAAAAAAACACCCCTTTTTTTCTAGGGTTAAATATGAGCGCTGAAGCAGATGACTAGCGATGCACAAATGTTAGGGTTGTATTGTTAATACAAAGTAACTTTTGAATTTTAACTTTGATTGAATATACAAATGTATACACTAAATGTGTACAAAACACGATTTTCGCTACATTATATTGACCGATACATCCCTATGACATGAGACACCCTTCGGTCAGTGTTCTATGTTTCCCATCGTTGTACAAAGCTTTCAATACTAGTTTTAATACTGAGGCAAGGCAGCATAAAACCTGTGAAATGATTATCTTTGGTACGGAACCACATATGCTACCACGGCCGTCGCAGTTGAGTCGTTGCTCGGAAATATGAAAGCACCAGCTAGCTGTGCCGTTCTGGCTAAAGGATGTACTATACGTTTTGTTAATTCAACGAGCTAGTGATCAAATAAGAAATGCAAACGCAATAATTAGCATGGTGACAGCTGACTGGTGTCTATTTCTGAGTCAGATTTCACTCGGTATTCTCGCTCCGGTACAGCTGTGATATGTACACGGGCCGATGCCTGCCAATCATACAACTTCAAAATGGACAAACGTTAATGGTAAAATATGTTTTGTTAGTGTTGGGTTAAAAATGATTTATGTAAGAGATGGATAATAGTTTCGATATGGAATGGGAAATTAGGTTTCACCCGAACTGTTTCGCATTGAAGGTAAATAATATAAATATCTCGAAGGTTTAGATTTCAGATTATCGGTATTCATAGTAGAATTATACACAAAGCACCCCCTGTACTTTTGCAATGATAGGTTTACAACACGCATATAAAACTTCTCGTGGTGGCCACGATGGAGAAAGGTTTTTTACCCGTATAATCCTTTGACTCATAAAAAACGACAAAATGATTCAATTTGGAATCCATGTTGATTTTATGATGATAATTTCTCATTTTGAGAAAAAACCCACTGAGTTTAAAACAAAATCATGTCTGTACAAGTATGGCCCTGGAACGTTAATGTTGAATTTATTGGTGAATTTGAACATTCAAAATGTCATTTTGCGTGTCACAATTGTGCAATCGACACTGCTTTTGGCAGAGATTTCTTATGAATGTGGAGAGGGTTTTGTCACTTCTATTTACACGATTCAAT